ATTAATGCTCTGCGGTTACAAGTTCCTGTTTTTACTACCCAACCTTGTATCCTGTTTTTCTCCTTTTGTCTTTTGTGGTCAGACATGACCTTCACAGCTTATACACGACTGTACACACTTTCAATTGTTTTCAATCCTCGGCCTCCTACAAATATAAATAGGTATTATAGCAACAATTTGTGCAGAAAAATAGCGCATTTATACGTGAATGTAAATATAAGTGAGTTTTATGAGTATTATATGAGTTTTCTTATATAAACATAGGAAAAATGCCTTTCAGGGCTTTTGTAAATACCTGGACAAAAGTAGAAAAACCTGTTAACTATCTGGCCATTCATGCAGGCAAACAAATATCAGCAGAGAAGCAAACATAACAGCAATACTAGAAGCTGATGAAGAAAAGGAGATTTATTTTTTTCTTTTAGTAAGTCTGTCACTAGGTGTAGGAATTCCAGACTTCATTCTAATGGTGAAAATATCAGAGAAAGAAGCGTAGAAATTTGCAACTCATCTGGAAACTGAGGAGTTTGTATTGCTGTGCTTATTTTGCATATTTTTACGTTGGTGTGGAGAGAAGTGGAGACAAGCTTGCTCATGCAAGCTGGTGGCATCTGCTGTGATTGCTCAGAGATTTCATGTATGCCTTCAGGTAGAGAGGAGCACTCAGTGGCTTCTGCACATGAGTCCCAGCAACCCCATGCAACACTACAGGCTGGGGGCAGAGTGGCTGGAAAGCTGCCTGGTGGAAAAGGACCGGCGTGTGCTGATCCACAGGGACTGAGCATGAGCCAGCAGTGTGCCCAGGTGGCCAAGAAGGCCAGCGATATCTTGGCTTGTATCAGAAATAACGCAGCCAGCAGGACAGGGGAAGTGATTGTCCCTCTGGACTTGGGACTGGTGAGGCTGCACCTTGAATCCTGTGTCCGTTTCTGGGCCCTGCACTACAAAAAAGACACTGAGGTTCTGGAGTGTGTCCAGAGAAGGGTAATGAAGCTGGTGAAGGGTCTGGAGCACAAGTCTGATGAGGAACGACTGAGGGAGCTGGGGTTGTTTAGCCCGGAGAAAAGGAGCCTAAGGGGAGACCTTGTTGCTCTCTACAACTACGTGAAAGGAGGTTGTAGTGAGGTGAGTGTTGGCCTCTTCTCCCAAGTAACAAGTCACAGATCAAGAGGAAATGGCCTAGGGAGGTTCATGTTGGACATAGGAGGAATTTCTTCACAGAACAGTTGTCAAACATTGAAACAGGCTGCCCAGGGAAATAATTGAGTTACCATCCTTGGAGGGATTTAAAAGACATGAAGATGTGGCACTTAGAGACATCATTTAGTTGTTTGTTAACTGTTGCTCTTGATGATCTTAAAGATCTTTTCCAGGCTCAATGAGTTTGTGATTCTTCCTAGGAGATCACTGAAGAGGCATCAATGCCATGTGTCGCCTTTGGTATAGTTCTGTTTCTCTTCCAGAGAAACTGTCCTGATTTCCAGACACTGTGAACCATGTAGGTGATAGAGATTCATATTGGTATTAAAAGGACCTGGCCCCTGAATTTGTGCCTGGAATTGAGGAATGACAAGAACACAGAGCAAGAGACCTTAGTTGCAGCAACTGTTTTTTAAGTGCAAATACTCTAATCTGGAGCCTCTTTAGATGCTTCTGTATTGTAGTATAGGTTCATGAAGTAGGTTGTCAGTTTATTAAGACTGGAGACATTTTGTTGAGGCACTTTCCAGGCACATAAAGTACAGGAGACTTTGTCTGATGCATCACATTAATGTCTGCAATAATAGGTAAAAGCAGACAAACTTAAGTTGATTAATTAACTACTGAGGGTTTATTGTGATGATCTGCATAACAGATGATGTAGGAAGATGTCCTTTCTTTCTGCAGCTCCTGCTTTACCTGCATTCTTAAATTACCTTGGCTTAAACAGCACTGCTGCGTTCGTGGTGACGCTCTTTCCTTGCTGTTCACTGCTGGTAGAATTAAAAACAGACTTCCTGGTTTGGAAAGCTCAGCATTTGCACTCAAATGTGTATTAATGCACCTGAAAGTTCAAAACAAACAAATGTAGATGCTTAATTTATTTCTTATTTGAGTTAAAGCCAGATGGCTTGCAGTTTTGCTTGCTCTGACAGCACATGGGCTGTTTGCTTCTGTTTTTTTTAAAAAGGGGTGTTGCTACTTTGTGTCAGCTAGAAGTCCTGGTCACTCCTTGGCTCTCCTTTGCCCTGAAAAGAGAAGAAGCTCTGAACTTTTGGAGGGGGCAATGAGACAGTCTGATGAAGATGAAAAGGACCAGAGTGCCAGGCTGGTGGAAGTCATGTGCTGCATGGGTCAGTAATGCAGCCCGGAGCTGGGCTGGCAGGGCGGCAGGGCTGCCTGTGGGACAGGGCAGAGCTTTCTGGGGGGAAGCTTCTCTCAAGGGGCTTTCTGAGGGTTTCTTTCCTTAATTAGTGTTTCATTTTTTTTTTTTTTGTAATTTTCCTGGTTTTTACTTCATTTGGGGAGTTTGATTTGGTGTGTTCTGCTCTGAGCTGGAGCACACTGAATACTGTTGCACTGTATTTTCCTCTTAGTATGCTTTTACCTTTCTGGAAGCATTTGGTTTTTTGATAAAAATCACAGTGAGGTGTGACACTGAGATCGGTTAAAACTTGGTGCTAACTATGACAAGGTTTTGGGTTCGATCCCCTGTATGAGCCGTTCACTTAAGGGTTCAACTCAATGATCCTGTGGGTCCTTTCTAACTCAGAATATTCTGTGATTCTGTTTTGATGACTTTCTTTCCTTCCTTTAATTCTGGTGTTTTTCACAACATGACAGGTGTCAGCTTTCCTCCTCATGGCACATTCGTGTCTGTCAGTCACAGAATTTTTCTGTGAGTGTTTGTGTAATACATATGTATGTATAAAAGGAAAAAGAGTAGTAAGTATCACTTGTTTTATGAATGTTGGCATTTTAATTGAAAATAGTGTTGAAACTAATAGTGACTCCATAGTCTTAACAAAATACAAGTGGATTTTTTTCAACTCTTTTTTTTTTTTTTAACTGTTGTCACAGTAACATTTCCCAAAATGTAAACTTCTGTGTGGTCAAAACTAGATGAGGTTACCTTAGGAGAAAAGACACATTGTACACATTGTGAAATTTTGTGTTCCTTTTACAAGAGCTGCCCATAATGGAACAGTTAAAAGTGAAAGTGTTTCTAGATTTCTCTTAATTCTGAGATTTTCTGTTCTCTACATCTACTAAATCAGAGCTTCCACTTTATTAGGATAAATAACTGATGTCAGAAATGATGTCTTGCTAGATGAAGGCTACAGGGAAGTGTATATAGCAAAAAGTTCTTTTAATCTGCCAATTTTTTTTTTCCCAGTAGTGCAGCTTTGCTCTTTAGTTTTTCTATTTCTCCTCTTTTTTGAGTCTTCAAGTAGAATAAGAGAGTGTAAAGCTGTGAAGTGGGGAAAAAATCATATGCCAGTAGCTTAGAAGATCTTGAGTGGTGTGGAAAAGAGGTTTAGGAATCAGCAACTATTCTGTACAGAGCCAAATATACAACTACACATACTGCCTGAAGATCTCATTGTCACAGTAAGCTGTGGCTATCAAAGTGATAGGTGTGTTAAAAAAGAATTGGAAAAAATAACAGGAAAAATGCATCTATGGCTCTTAAATGCGAAGATATGTATGAGCATGTAGAAAGTCTGTGAGTCACATAAGAGAGGACTATACAAAGGCTTCACAGGCTTTTACTTGTGTTGTTTTTGCATTTATTCCCCAAAAGTAATTTCTCACTACTGTTAGGAACAGCATGCAGTGCTCAGTTTGGCCCAACATGTACTCTTGTATGATGTCATGCTGTTTTGAAAGACCTCAGTATCGCACCAGAAACTCGAAAGTACTTGAAAGACTTTCAGTCAATTTATTTTTATTTATTGTTCTCTTTGACTAACCTGAAAACAGTATTTTAAAATGTAAAATACAAGACCTGAATCAGTCTTCTAGTGATGGCAATAGGTGCAGAGGGGTCTTGTTTTGCTACCTGAGCTCACTGCTCATTCTCAGCCACACTGCAAATAGCCTGAGTCAATGAAACAGCTGCAGTTGTGTTGTACGGGGTCAGAAGGAATCTTGCTATTTTAGGCTTGCACAGATGGTCCTGGTCCTAATGCCCCGTGACTCCTGCTCTGGGTAGCTCCGGGACTGTGAACGGGCTCTGTAGCAGTTGTACTGGCTCGTGACCCTACACAGGTTGCTGGAGATAAATCTTGTGGTGGTTAGTTTTCCTCTGAGTAGAATTCACGTATATGCTTCCTATCTATAAGTAGGATGCTTTCTTACCCTGAGTCTATTACTTCTGTTATATCTCCACACTGTTTTGTGGGCAATCATTGATGCTAACTGCCATGCCAGGGAGCAAACTGCTGAAAGTGGCTGGGTCCCATATCTGGGTTAGTGGACATCCCTGTTGATTTTAAAGAGAATTAAAGGAGGGTACTTTCTCTGACTGAAGCTGTAACTCACCCCTGTGTGTTGGAACAATGGATATTCCAGTTGAAAAGCATGGTGATTAAAAAAATTAGCTTTCATGTGGTAAGAGATTTTCCATTGCCTAATACTTTAGTAATTAATTGATTGTAGAGGCTATGAGTAGTATTTATAGCTCTTAAAAATTTGCCATGACTTTTTAAGTACAATTTGAGTGGCGGTTGACTTCTCCTAGGAAGTTATATTTTTATTAGTATTCCTGATGTTGTACCTGTGGAACCATTATCCTGAAGGAACTCAGCTGGAGCTTCAAGAAACTTTTTCATTACATGCTGTGATGTACTGCAAAAACTTTTATGTGCTGTTATTTTGGTTAGACATTTTGGAGCTTTTGAAAATTTAAATTTTATAAATTTACTAGAATATTAATTTTATAAATCTCTTAATAAAAAAAATCTTCTGCATCACTTGTAGAGCTGTTAAACCCTTTTCTTTTTCCTTTTTACCTCTAGATGAGCGGGACAAAGTACAAAAGAAGACGTTCACAAAATGGATAAATCAGCATCTCATGAAGGTCAGTTATATCTGTCATGTCTGGATGACTGATTACTACAGCAGCAATTGTGTCTTTTACTACATGTTTGGTGTCAGGATGTAACTGTGTTACATATAAGGAAGATCTCAAATTGTGAGGTTTATGCATGTGCTTTGTCTTTGAGGAGTCATGGGGGAATTGAAATGCTGTTGTCTAATGTCCCAAGGTGATCTAATTGAGCATTTGAATTTGAAATTAAAATGAGTCGAAGTTGAAGAGATATGATTTCTTTCTATAAGGCTTGACTGTTTTCTGGAATTAGTATGTCATGGCTGTAGTACCATAGTTAAGGCAAATGAAAAAAAAAAGTATTTTAAGTACCATGTTGTGGATGGGGAAATGACCTTGAGAATGAGAGGTCCAGATCATCCTATGGCATTAGTATGCTACTTGTGGATTAGAAATAGAAGATTCTAGAGACAAAACTCACATTTCAATATCTTTCTTTGGAATAGCAGTGAACTTTGCTTCAGGGACAAAGCACGTTATTTTAACAACATGTACAGCTTTTAGTTGACAGATAACCAGAAGCTGAATTCACCTTCACTGTATGGCCTTTCAGTTCTAAATTTAATCTGCTGTTTCAGTGCCAGCTGTCTAGGTCAGACATTTCTTTGGAGAAACAGATTGTATGATTATTTAACATAACTTGCATTGATATGCCCCCAACTCCGAGGTTGAATTCATGTAAGAGTCACATTAAATAAAAATGTATCTGCAAACTGTCAGAGTTGAGATTTAATTAATGAGTACAATCTTCAGACACTGTTGGAAAGATCTCCTTGCATTTGTATTTAGAGCAGTAGCATACCACCTTTCTGTGAACAGGGTGAGTCTGCAGTCACAGGATGGCTCATACCAGTAGATTTTCCTTTGTGGGTTTGCTAGACCCAAAGGAAACATGCTGTATAGAAACAGCTGCTCCAAGGACCCTTTCCATGCAGATACCTCCTCACTGTAATCCTGAAACATCGAAGTGGCCCCATGTCCTTGCAGAAGTCTTCTACTTGCTAATGAGAAAAGGCAAAAGGCAGGTCTGCAGCCTTCCCTTTCTGAATTTTGCCTCCTGTTTATGGTGTAAGAAATGTATCCACTGTCCAAATTAGATTTAAAGAAAAAAACATCCAGGAAGGTTGCCAGTACCTGGCAGCAAAATGCAATATCCAAATTAACCATCAGGCATTTATTCTTCTAACTGAGGGTAATTGTTGTCATGTTTGTAGAGGCTACTAATCTTTTTATATATTAAAGATGCATTTAAAAAATGCATCTGTGGGATGGGGAAAAGCCTGTCTGAAGATTTTTGGAGAGCAATGCTTTAACACAAGTTAAAAACAGTGCATATTTTTACAGAAGAGCAGTGTACTGATAATGATATTTCTATATACCATTGTCTTACACCCTTCTAAAACATGCACAGTCATGATTTCCATACTGTCAACCTCTTGGGAGTAGCTTAAAAAAGATTTAGACTCTAAACCCCTAAGAAAATCAGAGTAAAGAGCTCACACTAAATCCTGTTTCCTTCCTTGCCAATGTCAGTGGCCTTAGGCCTTTGTTTTCAGGTAGTTCTCACTGTGGGTGATTGCAGAGGTATAGATACAGATAGATAAAATAATGTGTGTCTGTGTATATTGCTGGCACTGATTTTCATCTTGGATTGCTCACTTTAGAATTCAAGTAAAGGATAGTTAACTTATACAAATATAGTTTGGCTATAGCTCTTCCATTAACTTGGAATTTATGTAGCAACTCAGCTTTATCTTCTGGAAATAGTTTGAAAGCAGTTGGTGATACAGTTGTCAAATTTCTGTTCTTAGAGCATTGTTTCTAGAACAGTGACTTGGATGGAAATTAAAATCAAACCTTCAGATGCTTTCTCTTAAGACACAAAAGTGTATTTAGAAAATATTATATAATGGAGGGAATGTAGAAAAAAGAGCGCAATAAATGAGTGAATTTCTAGCAGAGATACTGGACCTGTCCTGGTCAATGCATTAAGTTGAAGTTGAGCCCTAGTTTTCATGTACCTTGGATTTAGTACAAAACATGCAACTCATGTTTGCCCATTCACGGCACATAACTTGTTGCGCACAAATGAAGGTGGGAATTGTCTCATCTCAGGCATCTCAATAGCTTTATGTGAGCTGGTTACCCGGGCTTCTTTAGTAGGTAGCAGAGGGAACAAGCCCTTAGAGATGTCTACCCATAAGGCATCTCCCTAAGGGGAAGTGAATTGTGTCTCAGAAGTGCTTTTGTTCCACTGATTGAAAAAGGTCGGTGTGCTTTTATCTGATGCTGTGTAGGGTTCAACAAGAAGCAGAAAAGATGAAGGTGATAGTGGAAGTTACGAGAGATCGTGGCAAACACCAGACCATATATGTGGACAGGACCCTGCTATGGGCATGGGGACGGATCACATTTTAATTTCATTTGTTTTCTTTCTTATTTTTTTTTCTCTTTTCCCTGTTTCTTTTCTCTGTCCCCTACTTGTTTTTTTGTTTTCTCTATTTTTCTTTTCTCATCTCTTTTTATGCTTTCCCTGCTTGTTTAGTTCTTTCCTCACTCATTTTAATTGATCTTCTATTCTCCTGCACTCCTTGGGAAAATACCAGACCTTTGTGCCTTTATAGAGGTGTATTCAAGAGATTTTCTTCTAGGTCAGCAGAAATGGTGCTTTTACTAGTTACCGTAATTCTTAGGGGGTTGGCAAAGAAACCTACTGTCACTCTTGTAATTGATCTGTCTGTGATTCACTGAGTAACTTGTAAATATTTACCATTCTGCTCTCCATTGCCTATCTCTAGTTGCATTGGATTCAAAGCCTGTGTGTAGTATTTAAAATTCAGTGTGTAAGATTAGTCTCTTGACAGCTTAGTTGATTAGTAAGGCATGTTGTGTGCTTTGCTAAACTAGAAACATAGTCATTGCAGAAATATTTTGTGCTAATTATTTTGATATACATAGTTTTAGAGACAAGTACATAATGTATTATGTGCAAAATTCAGCTGTTGAATCTTTGAATTCCACAGTTGAAGTGGACGGTCACTACATTTTTTAAATGCTGAAGTTTTTCTTTTGAATTGATAACAGATTTTCTGAGGACTGATTAGAGCATTGGCCTTGCTAAGGCTACTGTTTACTGTCTGATGTGGGGCTCCAGTTTAAATGTTATCTTTTGTGTCTTATTGACATACGGGCTGGAGAGGTGAGATATTGGACTTTAGACTCTGCTACTGCTGTGGTATGAGCTTCCAGGGAGAAACTCACATGCCAAAGTAGTGTGGTGATGGGGTAGAGGTCTCCTCTCTTCTCTGAACCGCCCTCTGCTTCCAGCAAGCATTTCACTTTGCTGCTGCCAAAATAAGATGTTAAATTCTAGTACTTGCTAGAGCAGTAAGTAATCCTTGATGTGACAAGAAAAGGTACATTTGTGGTAGCAAGGGGTTTAGTGTAGTGGTTGCATAGTTCTAAATCACCTAAAGAGAAATCCAGCTTCCAGGAAAGCCAGAAATTCTTCCTGACATCCTTTGAATCCCAAACCCCAAAATTTAAGGAAAGAGTGAGGCTAGTTTGAAATACAGGTGGAAGATAAGATGAAAGTCAGAAAATGAAAAAAGTTGATGATGAAAAAGGAGTAAAAGCAGGCAAATTCTTCTTTGTTGTTCAGTTCCTTTCTCAAATCAATTTAAAAATAGTTTTGTAGTGCCAGATGTTAGTCCTGACAAATTAAATGGGATATTATTCTAAGTTTCTTTACCAGAAATTAGGACTGAAGGCAAGGCAACCAAAAACTGGCTAGTGGTATGGTGAACACCCAAGTATCTTCCTACTAAGGAAAATATCATCCTTCTCATGGAGGAAAAGGTTGTAGAGAGCCTCTTAGCTGACCTTCTAGCAGCAATATGGGCCTCTGGGTGCCTGAGCAGCTCCCTGGAGAGGGAGAGCTGTCCTGTTCATGGCACTGACAGGGTGGGTTGGCTTTTGGGACCCTTGACTGACTGGACCTTGGGAGAAGCATGCTGCTGATAGGAGGAATGGGCAGCATCCCTGCACAGTCATTAATTGTTCCAAAAGTAATTTTTGAAGGTCTTATGAGCAAGAAGCATTTATAAGTAGCAGGACAAAATGCTTTTAAAACTATTGTTTTAAAACTCTGTGTTCAAAATCACGTACTGTGTTGCAGTGATAGTGCATTAGAGAGAGAACAGCTTTCTGTTGTGCAAAGACTGAATGAATAATTCAGAATAGAAACCTGAAGTTATTGATTCCTGTGCGTCCTTCAAGCAGCACAGGGTTTGCAAATGGCTTCTTGGGTCGATTGCATTGTGAGATGTTCAGGTATGACCTTAATGGCAGCATGACCGACCGTTCCTGATAAAGCACAGTCATTCCCTTGCTGAAAGCTGGCACTTTATGGACACTAGTAGTTATTGTTTTTAGATAGTGCTACTCTGCAGTGTCTCAGTATCTTCTTTTTAGTTGTGCATTTAAGATGTCATTTAAAATTCCCCATCTCTTCTTTTAGAAATGAACACTTTGTAGATCTACACTGATATCTGAAGGATGAGGAACCTGGTGTTAGTCTTATGGTAGTGACTTTTTAAAAAAGTCTCAATTTAACACCTCTAGATTTTGAAACATACTCAGAAAACCTGCTTTCTTTTTTCTTTTTTTTTTTTCCCCCCCATGTGTTAAAATAAGACAAAGATTCCTTGCTGTGCTAGTGCATCTAAATGAGCCTACTATGTGTTCCTCAGAGTTTATTCTGACAACTGCTGCAAACTGTGTTGGGAACAAATTCTGTAAAATCCCATTTCAACATGGCCCACAGCTTGCTTTAGGTATTGGGTGCAGCCGAAATGTTAGTGTTTCCACCTCTGTTTCGTTTTTCAGTTGTTCCAGAAGGCCCATTGTCTGCTTGGTAGACAGAAGAATATACCATTTTTTCTCCTAAATTTTTTGCCATTGTATGTTCA